TTTCAGCTTTTCTGCTGCTTCTTTTAGTTTGATATTGGACCCTTTGGTTTGATATTCTAATTTTCTTTTTCCCTTCCCTCTTTCTCTAACTTATTTTATGGGAGATTATCTTGACTTTAGATTCCAACTCTTCTATTACATTTTAAATATTGGTATCCTACATTTAATATTCAAGAGCAGTCTCTGCTCATGAGAAAATTATGGTGTAATTGAGGAGATAACACTTTTCCTTCAATATAAGGCAATGCAAGCCTAACATATTCACACATGAGATAGATGGTGTGGAATATAATGAAGCTATGAAATTACTGTCGAGTTAAGAGTCAGGCTGAATGGATACGTCCTCATAAAATGTGGGATTTGAGCAGAATCTTGAAGGGCTAAAGGATAGGTGGGATTTACATAAGTGTGTGTGTGGGGTGCGGGAGAGATCATATCCTTATAGAGATAAGAGAAGACAGTGTATCTATGAAACAAAAACAAGTGGCTATTAAAAAGGAAATAATCTTGGAAATTAAATATATGATATAATTAAAAATTTAAAATTAATAGGCACTTTGGGAGGCCAAGGCGGGTGGATCACTTGAGGTCAGGAGTTTGAGACCAGCCTGGCCGTCATGGTGAAACTCTGCCTCTACTAAAAAGAATACAAAAATTAGCCAGGTGTGGTGGTGCACACCTGTAGTCTTAGCTACCTGGAGGCTGAGGCACAAAAATCGCTTGAATCTTGGAGGAGGAGGTTGCAGTGAGCCAAGATTGTGCCACTGTACTCCAGTCTTGGCGACAGAGCAAGACTTCATCTCAAAAAAAAAAATTAATAAAAAGTTGAAATATAAAGTCAAAATAATCTCCCGTAAAATGAGAGAGAGAGGAATAAAGAAAGGAAGAAAGAAAGGAAGGATAAAATTAGAAGATTAAACCAGAAAGTCCAATATCAAACTAAAAGAAGCTCCAGAAAGAGCAAACAGAAAAAAACGAAGTGGAGGAAATTACAAAATAAATCACTCAAGACAGTTTCTCAGGACGGAAAGGCACGAATCTTCATAATGGAAGGGGCCACGAAGTACCAACAACATTAATAAAGAAAGAACCACAGCAAGGCACCTACTTGTAAAATAAAGGGATAAAGAGAAGACCTAAAATCACCCAAGAGAAATAAAACAAGCAAGGTCAAGGGACAGGAAATTATAATTGCACCAGGCACCACCAAAACAATCATGGCACAATGCATGAACATTTCTGAAGGAAAATTTTTTTCCAGCCAGAATTCTACCACCAGTCAATTATCAATCAAAGGTGGAGGTGGACTGAAGACATTTTCAGTCATGCAGTCCTCGACAGCGGTGTCTCCCAAGCCACTGGATGACAGTCTGCACCAAAGCAAGGGTGTAGACCAAGGAGGAGAAAGACATGCAGCTGGAAGCAGGCCAGTTCCACATGGGCAAGAGAGAAAGTGGGTCCCGGCATCAGCAGCATGCTCTGCTGCAGACCAGGAACTGCAGAAGGCTCCTGGAGGAAATTCTCCAGGGAAGTCTTGTGATTAAGCAAGAACAGGGAAAACAGTGATAGGCTTTTGAGGTGGCAGAGTATTTAGGGGAAAAAAATAGCAATCAGTACATGGAAATCAAGATGAATGAGACAAAAGAGGGAAATATTGTTGGCAGGAGAAATGATGGGTTTTTCACAAAAGGAGGTGGCGTCAGTGAACAACGTTATGTATGCTTATGATAATGCAAACACTATTAACCAAAAATTGGGATACCATTATGTTGAGGGTAGG